AGGTGTGCCAGCCAATGTTCCAGGGACAGCCGCTGCTCAGAACCAGCCCAGCTTTGTAGGATTTTCTGATTTTTCCAGAAATCTTTCTTTTACAGTGAAATCTCTCCGTTTTTCAAACGTTGACAATAAATTTAAAGTTAAAACACACACACCACCGAGTTACCCTGTGTGGGGTCCAGCCAAACACGTCTGCAGCCTGGATTCAGCCTGCAGGCTCTGAGAGAAGACAATGTGTTCATGAGAACAGAAAATCTGTTGTCTAGGGCCTGACTCTATTCCCTGCGCTCCCTCTGAGGCCAGTTAGCAAGACGTTGCTACCTTGTCACATTACCTTGAAATTCTTCTTTTGCTGTCTGAATTTTTCTCCATTCCCGCCAAATACATGGTCTCATGAAGGAGCCCAGGGGCCCAGAGTTTGTTCAGCATTTTATGTGCAGCGTGCGTTATTGACAGGCACCTACTTGTCCTCCCCACAACCCTGTGAGATGGGCATTGCTGTGCCCCTTTCACAGAAGAGGGACAGACAGGGAGCGGGGGTGAGACGTTGAGAGTTGAAGGCAAGATCAGAGGGTGAGTGGAAGCCTGTTGTCTTTTTTTCAGCTCTTGCTCTTTTATTACACCCACAAGGGGTGTGTTGCTCATGAACGTTGGCTTCACTCCAGTGATTCAATTACTGACCACGCCGTGGTGACCTGTGATTCAGATCCTGGGGCTTCCTGGTGCCTTCCTCCTAGAGTGTGCCCTATGACACACTTTCCAGTGCCACCCTCCTCTCCCTGCCTCAGGCCCCTCCAGACAAAGATTAAAATGCTCATATTTCCCCAATGAGACATCTTGTTCCTCGGAATTCCTAGGAACCTGGGAATTTGGATGAACAACAGCATTAAAACCAAGGCAAATTATTTGAATAGCTAAATACTACAGATGTTGATTCAGATCTGTTAGCCACATGTAAAAATGAAAACTGCAGAAGCGATAGCCAGAGTTTTACCAAACTGGGAGTCTGTGTAGGCCTGGGCCCCTCTGGGTGGCGTGGGGCCCTGGTGGCTCCGAGCTCCAGGTGCTGACCTCAGGCCTTGCCTAGTAGCAGCAGCCAGCACATTCTTGCTTAGCTTCTGGGTGTGAGAGGGGAGGCCTGTCCTCCAGCGCAAGAGGCAGACAGACAGATGCCTTCTGGACCAGAGTGGGTGTTGCACAAACATGAAGCAATCAGCAAGCCCACAACTCCAGGTTATGGAGGGTCAAGGTCACCCTTGATTAAGAACCACATTGTGGACTGTTTGGTGATGCCCTGAGTGTGAATCAAATTCATTGGAATTGCATCCTTTCCTTGGTACAGTGGGAAGTGTGGCTTCTGGGGTGAAAAGGCTTACGAGCTGGGTGAACTTGGAGCAGTTTTTCTAACTTCAGTGGCCTCCTGTGTAAAACGAGGATGAACTAGTAATGTACGTTTCAGGATTACAGCGAGGCTGCACAAACTGATGCACGTGAAAGCAGTGTGTGCACTCCGAGGTTCCATACAAGTATCAGGTGGTGTTTGCCTTGGAAACTATTCTTGGAGTAAGAAAAAAGCAAGCTTTTTATCCACCTAGTAGCAGAAACAAACAACTAGACATCCTTGCCACTGAGGGAAGACCAAAGAAAAACCCTCTGACAGCACAGAGATGTTTGTCTTCCAGCCTCTGGTCTGGTTCTGCCCCAGCCCAGCTGTTGAGTAGATGCAAAACAGCTGCCAGTCTGGAGGAAGTCCTCAGCTAGCCCTCCAGATCCTGTAAGCACCTCCCCACCCCTCAGGAATCAGACAGCACTGGCCCTCCTGGCAGAGACATGAGACAACTCAGCAGACGGAGTTCCTGGAAGAGGCTCCCTAAGTTGCAACAATATAATTTTGATCTGATGTCTCCATAGGAAGAATGTTATGATGAGATTGTATGCATTTCCAGTGGCCCAGTGTACAACTTTTTCTAGGAATGACCACAAATACCCCATTTAGTTGACTTGCCAAAGCTCTTCAGAGACAACATGCAGTAGAAAGTTGTCTGCTTGGGTTGAATAGTCTGTGAGGCTGTGACAATCACCCACCTCCTAAACTTTGTTAACGTGTTTTCTCGGTGGGCTCATCCCTATGCCAGCAGAGGGAAGTGGACTTGGAGAAGGGAAGTTGCATGTGAGTGAGTTGGGAGCCGAGAGAGGTTGGCAGGGCAGGACGAGGGGCTGATGCTCCACCTGAAGCCGAGGACAGAGGGGTCCCCAGTGGAAGGGAGCTGTCTGAGTGACAGGAGCAAAGGGCCTCTGGGAAAGAGCAGGCCAGCACAGAAGGAAAGCTGCAAGGAGCTCTGAGCTGACAAGTGGGAATTGTCAGTTGTTAGCTGGTTTTAACCCTGACTATAATACAGTCAGGAAGTAAGAAAGTCCTCCATGTACTCAATGCAGAGTTTCTCGCCAATTTTAGAGGGACCTCCTCAAGCATTTTATAAAAGCCTGACTGTGGACTCTGCTCATGGCCATGCGGGTGGGAGCAATGACTGATCCAGTCCTGATACGCGTGACCCTCCTGATCCATGTGAACCGTGCAAACCCTTCTGCAGTTACAGGAAAACTTGCTCAGGTCTTGGAAACTTTCTGCCCTGGAGGTTGAGAAGAAGAGGAGAATGCTTGGCGTTATTCTCATGCAAAGGGAACATTCAGAAAGTCCTTAGGGTGCAGCCTGGAAACCACACGCCACTCAGAAAGGGTGTCATGTTCGCATTCTGGAGGCTGGGGGCCAATCCTCAGAAGCAGCGCCAGCTGGCAGGGGTGCCCGGTTTAACATGCTTCGGGGAACAAAATGTGGAACCAGCATGCTGTGAATCAGGGCACTGCACCGTGAGGCTGCGTCAGTCCCCTGTCAAAGGCTGTGTTAACATGCATGCGCTTGCCCGGGAGCGCAGACGGGGGCTAGGCCAGGCCGCTGGGTGTGAGCAAAATCACCCGGAGGAGACCCTCGGCCTCTCCTTTGGGTGGGGCAGGACAGCTGAGGAATCTGAGAAAGACGCAGCTGGGCACGGAGTGAGTTCACACAAGGTCGTCCAAGGCCCAGGACAAGGCAAGGCCGTCTGCCCTGCCCCACGATCCCTCCTCCCAGGTTCCGGGACTGCTGGGGCGTCCTTATTCTGGGGAATCCTTGACTGGCCGTCACCAGCCCTTGCATTTCTACGCTGACAGCAGCAGAATTGCCTAGGGACGTGCTCAAAAAGGGCTGATGCCTGTAGCCCATGCAGACCCAGTCGGTCAAAACCCTTGAGGCTCCTTGACCAGGGGGAGGCAGACAGGAAGACAGGGAATTCCGATTCACTGTGCTTCGTGTGACCCCCGAGGATAAATATGACAGCAGCTGCTCTTGGTGGGGTAACTTGGTCCTGTGCTAATCACCACAATGGCATCAGTGAATTGAATCCTCAAAGACAATAGTATCCTTAGATTACAAATGAGAAAACTTGGGCTCACAGAGGTCAAATAACCTGCCCAGTTTCACCCAGCTAGTGAGTGGCAGAGGCAGGGTACAAACTCAGGAACGGGAAGCTTGCTGATTAAGCTGGATTTCAAAGTTCTGCACACAGTTAAAAGCACCATTTATTTGTGCATTTCACCCAAAGCTGCCTCTGACCTCAGAGAGTACAAACCCTACCCAAGTCCTTGAACTCGGCCACTGGGAGCATTCTGCGTGCGGTAGAACTCCAGGGGAGAGCCGTGGTGCCCACGTGTGGACACCGTGGAGCCCGTGGGTCGCTGGTGTGTTTGCAGCCTTGTCTGGTGTAAGCCTTTATAGTAGATTTGCTTTGTGCAGCTGCGGCCCCTCCAGAAGGTTGAGTCAACCCCGGTTTGCTGCTGGCACCAAGGTGCCCTAAGACTTTGCTGAGCCCTTGCATAGCTTGGGGAGGCACACCTACTGTCCACCTGCTCCTGTGAGTCATAAAGCTGCCACGCTGCTGTCAGGTCTGCCAGCTCTGCGTTTTCGGAGTCGCTACCATGCCAAGAGAGAACGTAGCCATATATGGCAGGGGCACCAGGCAGCGCTTTCCCCAGCCTGCCTTCCCCTTGGGATATGCCGATGGACAACCAGACGGGGCGAAGCTCAAGGTCCAGGATGTCGCCTTGTTTTCAGCAGGTGGCTGGAGCGAGAGGGAAAGGGCAGTCTGGAATCCAAGGGCTCAGGCCAAGAGGAGAGCCAGCCCACAAACATGGGGTGGGGGCCAGGATTACCACGTGCCCTGGCCCCCAGGATGAAGCCAGAGGGAGGTCACAGGAGGGAAAGATCAAGTTTTATTAACCATTTCAGGCTTCAGCTGTTCAGTCTGTCCCGTTTGACATTTGCTGTGGATCTGCCTATCACTGAGAATCTTTCAGCTGAAAGGTTCCCACTTTTTCTTGAATAGAAACTTCCTTATCTGCCTAACTAGCATTCTCCAAACGACTGCAAATCTTGATAGCACCTTAAAATGCACCCTTTGTACAAAGTTCTCCAGAGGCACTCTCTTTTGCCATTTTCTGTTGCCAATAATACTTGGGTAAGAGAGCCAGAATGAAATAAAATCAAACCCTCTCCTGAAGTACACAGCGGTAATATTAAACTGCATGTGTAACAGGGCTCACTTTTGCCAGAGGCCCCCTAACTACTGCAAATGTTTATGTGTATTTGTTTCCTCTTAGAAAACACTAGAAAAGGCTACTTTTATGCTGTATGTTGGGTGCATGGATAAACCTGCTAGTCCTGGGTTTCTGCAAACAAAGGATTTATGAGGGTGCTGCAATGGATCACAAGCATAGACACCTTGGCCAGCACTCGAATTGCTGAGGGGGCATTTTAGTAATCACCTGGAAGAGGCTGCGAGGACTGGGAAAATGCACCCTTTTCCTCCAAAGTAACTCAAGGCATCACTTAAATAACTTAAACGCTTCAACTTGAATGCTTAAACAACTTAAAGATGACTGTTATTCACCTTTTAAAAAATTGTCTTCAGATTTCAGGTAGAAACAATAATTGAAGATGTCGAGCAAAACAGCAAGCACCAACAACATCGCCCAGGCGAGGAGGACGGTGCAGCAGTTAAGACTAGAAGCCTCCATTGAAAGAATAAAGGTAAGAGGCCTTGACTGGATTACACGCGATTTCTGAGGCGTTCCCCCTGCTCTCCAAAGGTGAGGCCCCATTTCAGAGAAGGTAATGCCCTTTAATTCAGCTTGGTCCCGGGGTCTTCCTAGAGCAAGCTGAGCATCTCAGAAGCTTCACTTTCATTTCTCCCTGGCACCAGCCGCATTTCAGAAGGGCACAGAAGTTCAAAAGGCAGAGTTAGCCTAGGTCTGTCTGTTTGGACAGAAAACCTAAAACCCGGGACAGGATTTCCTGAGGCCCTGCCTTCTCTGAAGGATCTCGGTCAAGTCTTGTGATCACCGTGTTCTGCACTGAGACAGGGGTTCCAGGTGGACTCTATAAACACCCTCACCATCCCTCTGGAATTAAGTGTTCTAGAGTTATCAGTGCAGCTGAACCAGCCTTGCATAACACGTCAACACTCAGGGTCTCCTTTGTAAGAGAATGCGGCTCTTTAAGCATCTGTGGACTTGAATGACCACATTCTGCATCCAGGGTGGGTCATGCCAGCCTTAGTGGGGATCTGGAAGAAACCGGAAGGCGTTTGTTAGGTCCCCTGACTTTGAAGTCTTTTTCCCCCCAAATCCCAAGAGAGGACTCGGCAGCAAGTGCCCTGGAATGTTGTGAGTAATGCTGTTTCCTAGAAACTGAAGCAGTCACCTGATAAATTCCTCTGGGCCTGGAGATAGTCACCTGTCTTCAGAACAGGAGGCTGCCTGTGTTCCTCGCCCGAGGACATTGATCTGATTATTCCCAGGGATCTCCCACCCAGACTTCTGTACAGAGCAGGGCATCTTCCATTTTTAGCTCAGGCCAGAGTACGGCACTGCATCTTCCCATGCTAGCTTTGTCCTTCTTTCTCTTCCCTAAGCCCAATCTTGCACAGTAAGTAAGCAGCTTGCACTTGGCTCTATTCTCTCTTGGCTCCAAGCCCATAATTCAGTTCTTAAACTCTGTTCTGCCTTCCAATTGATTTTTTTATTGGATAGAAACTAAGATACAAATTTCCCTTGATTTACTTCCTCCTCCCCCCCACCCCCCTGTTTTTGTTTTGAGAAATTTCAAATCTAAGGAAGAGTTGTAACAACAAACACCCATATACTCTGCAAAGATTCACCGATTGTTAACATTTTGCCACATTTGCTTTCTCTCTCTGTCTATACACACACACATTTTTTCTTTAAACCACGTGAAAGTTATTTGCAGACATCGTGACTCTTCACTCCTAAATACTTCACTATCTATTTCCTAAATACAAGGGCATTCTTCTACATAACCACAGTACATTATAACATTCAAGATTATCTAGTAACATTATCTAACTGTCCATTTTTGAAGAATCCAGGCCACTAGTTTTGCAGAATGGCCCTCATTTAGATGGGATTGTTTGCTGACAATTAGATTCCAGGTAAATGTTTTGGCAGGAAAATTACCTAGCTGGTGGTGTGTCCTCACACTAGAAGACATGTGTCGGTTTATCTGATCATTAAGTCTGATGCTTGGTTAAGGAAGACCTTATCTGCCAGATTTCTCCATTTAAAGGTACCTTTTCCCTTTTTAACTAACAAGTAAACTGGAAGTGATACTTTCTGAGACTCTGACCATCCTGTCTTCCACCCGGTGGGTTAGCATTCAAATACACTTTTGAAGTTCGTAAATAAAGTATCTTCTTTCACGTTTGTTCGCTCTGATTTGTCCACGTGTCAGGTTTCAAAGGCGTCCGCAGACCTCATGTCCTACTGTGAGGAGCATGCCAGGAGCGACCCTTTGCTGATAGGGATACCAACTTCAGAAAACCCTTTCAAGGATAAAAAAACTTGTGTCATCTTATAGAGGAAGAGTATCCGGCTCCTCGCCTCTTCTCAACAAAGCCAATCAGGAGCAGCTCCTTGAAGAGGTTTACCTTTAGCTTATTTGGGAACCACTGCTAATAGCTAAAATGCTCTTAACTTGGAATAATGGACTCTGAAGTCTTTATTTTCCAAGTTACCCTTTCTCTAAAATACCCTTTTCTGATTTCATCCAGAATAACAGTCTCGTTTTCCATTTGGTAACTATGGTGTCATATTGGGTTGCTGCTTAAGGAAAGTTGGTCTGCGCCTTTTAAAAAACACAATTATATACTTTTAAATATATGAATGATCCAGTTCTGTCAAGACCTAAATTACCTAAGCACCTGTCTAGATTAAAATGCCAAGAATAACTTAAGTCCTAAAACCTTTATATCATAGTATATTCTTAATAGGGTTGTGCCAACCTGTACAGTATACAGGGGTGAGACGTGTTTTGTGTATATATATATATATGTTGTTGTATATACACATATCAAAGCTTATTTCCTTATTAAAAATTTCCCTCTCTCCGCAACATCACTTCCTCAACCCCAGAAGTTATACCTTTATCTTGAGCTGTGTGTTGGTAGAATAAAAACCCTTTTCATATAGTTACTGTACAAAATGTAAAGAACATCCTAAAGATTGTATTCATTGTAATCGAGTAATGAAGTCATCTCTCCTTTCTTGAAATCTTGCTGACCTCTTAGGCTACAATAAACTGTGCCAATTAAAATGTAAAAACGGAACTGAAAGCCCTTCTATCATATGAGGTGTTAATTCACAAGGGGCCTTTTGGGCTTCAGGGATCCTGAATCTAGAAAAGGAAAGGAGAGCCTTCGGGAGGACCCTGGGCAGGTGGGGCCCCAGGGCTCATGTTCTCTACAGGATTAGGGGAGACACCTCTGAAATCTCCACCCTAATGACGGGAATGAGACAGGCAGAGTGCACAGAAGCCCGCCCAGCCGAGAGAGAAGCGGGAGCGTGTGGAAACCAGCTGCTCTCCTTGGCCAAACTTTGTCATTTCTTCCCGCCTTCCCTTGATCTTGCCTCTGCCGCTAGAACATCTGTTTTCAGAGGGAATGTTCACCTCCCCAGCCCCAAGTGGGTGGAACAAGGTTGGAAAAAAACATACAAAAAAACAAAGGTATCAAGACATGAAAGCTCTTTCCAAATATCTGCCATGTCATCTTACCTTGTCCACAGACCATCAAGAGAGGCCACCCAAGAGAGGCTTCCCTTCAGTGATACACACTTGGGCCCCAGGGCTCCAGCAGCTGGGCACTAATATAGCCCTCAGATCCTTGGAATTTCTAGTGGGAAGAAGGAATCTCTTACGGCCAGAGGGTATTTTAACTTTATCAAAGAGGAAGAGAGGGTCCTTTTTTTAAAGACTCTCTTAAGGGCCAAACCATACGTTAGGTCTTTGATATTTTAATTCATCTTCAGTTCATTAAAAGTAACTCTAATGAAGGATTAAAAACTTATTCTCAAAAAGGATTCAACCCCAGGAAGGAATTATTTACAATGGTTTTCCCTGGTTCTGTACCTTCTTGCCCTGCCATGCAAGCCCCTTTTAAAAATCTAACATCTGGGCTTTGGGTATTATGCTAGTTGTGGGTGAACAAATGCAGTACTGGTTTAAGCTGCTGAAATACATTCAGTATTTCTCCAGGTCACCGATCTATTCGGCCTGGTCAGCTGCCCTCACTTTTCCAAGACCTTGTGAAAATCAGGCCACTGCCCTCACCCTGTTGTCATCGACTGCTTGGTTCTGCAGTGTGCCCAGTTCCCGAGTCAGTTATAGGCACCTGTTTAGGCAAGAGAAGCTTTTACTTTTCAAAAGGTGAAATTTAACATGTACACTAAAAAGACAACTTTACATTTAATGCTTCACTTAATGAGACATTCTTTTTTTAATAAGTATATTTTTCTACTGATGGTCTTAGAACACTAATCTTATTTTCACTCTGATTTTTAACGTTTCTTTAAATATTTATAATACAGCTTGTTACAAAATATTTTCATGAAATTAATTATACTGTTATGTGCACATTTTTGGTAGCCAGCATAGTTTATTCTTTAGTACTAAAACATGTTCTTTTACCTAACAGAAAACAAATATGTTTTGCTATATATTCGTCAATATGCTTGTAGTGGTAAGGAACAGTCTTGAGGTCCCAGGAGATTTCTTTTTATTTTTGCTGGCCAGATATCATAAAGGCTACGAGTAGGAATGTAGTGTAACTTCCTAACCAGGTGTAGGGCATGTTCAAGAAAAGTGAAATCAAATCCTTTGATGCTGGACCCAAGGAGGGAAAAATTGTCGCTAAATGTTGATTTACTTAGAGCTAGTGATCTATGTAAGAAAATATAATATATGTATACATATATATGATATGCAGGAGGCACTTTTATTTATCAGGCTTTATTCTGCTTCTGAAGCCACAGTTTAACTGTTCTGCAGCAGCTGGTTTATGATAGTGATGGACAAATGCCCAGTTTGTGTTGTTTTTGCAAGCTACCACTACAATGAGACAGTTAATCACATATATATGTGTAACTCCTTGGCTTCATATCCATGAAGCTCTTTAAATATTTTCACTGTACTACGTCTTTCGTGCTGCTTCTGTTAACAGTGACCCCTCACCTTTTTCCTTCCTAGTCTTCATTAGTTCATCATAAATCTGTCCAATTGAGGCCTCAGGAGCATGACAAGATATGCTAGACAAAATTTCATGACTCCAAAGTGTTTTTACAGAAACACATTTTTTTAAGAGAGAAAACACTTTATATACCAGGTGGTTCACAAGCTATAGGTTGTAGCTACTTTTTTTTGGTAAAAAAAAATCAGGTTTTTACATTTCCTTATTAAAATAAAAAGTGCCATATTTATCTTTTAAAAGAAAGACCTGATTTGCCTTCTCTCTGTTTGGACTATTTTTGTACTTTGCTAACTTTTAAACTAGCAGAAAAAAAATTATACCAATGATTCAGTAATTTTGAGGCATCAGTTAGTTTAGGTAGCGGGGGACATGCCAGACTTTCTCTTCAGATGCCTTCTGCTCAACCAGTTTGCAACTAAGATAGTGTCATCTGAGCGATTACTACGAATTTTGATTTCAGATCTACATAGGCCCAAGAAGTAAATTATAATACATGTCAGTCCTTTCTCAATAAAATAAATGTGCCAGAACGTTATGAATTGTGTTGATTTCTTTTATGGTAGATCTGTTAATAGGAAAAAATACATTGAATCAAATAGAAATATATGCATATTAAATTAGAGCACTTACCTAAAATTGGGTGGTCTGGATCTCAGCCCTGGGCCATTTTCTACCCAATCCCGTGTCCCTGTGTTGTGTGACTTTGGACAAGGCCTTCATCTCTCTCGGCCTGCATTCCACAATCTGTAAAACAAGGGGTTTGAAGTAGGTGATGGCCGAGATCCCTTCCTGCTCTCAGATGCCTAGGGCCAATGACCAGCTCCTCTACTGGTCCTGCCAACATGTTGGTGCTATAAGCTGCTTCAGATATAAAATTGGTTTGTCTATCGTGCCTGCTCATTTAATAGCTTATGAAAGGCCTTTTTGTTATATAGCTTTTTTTTCCTAGTTTTATGGACTTGATTACTGTAATAATGTCTTATTTTTAGCCATGTAACTATAAACAACATATATTCTCTTGATGTCTCAGCAAGTTTGCATTTGATATATAGTCGATGGGATTTTGTTATTTTATAACATTCTTTGGCAACTCATCTGTCCAGCATCTTATTAACCTAAACATTGTGATCATTGTTTGGAAATCTGTCTTATGGAAAGAATAGAAGCATTTACTTCACAGCTAACATGTTCACAGATTTGAAAGAAGTTTCATTAAAGCACCGTTGCTCTGTTTCCTGGGTCTGTGCCTCATTGTGTCGTCCTGCCTGTGTTTTGCTCAATAAATGAACAGAAGACCAATTCTCTTCCCCTTTTCCTTCATTCATTCAGTTAACATTTTCTGAGTACCTGCTGAGAGCTGGGGGTTGAACTCAGGCTCTGATGACACTCAAATGAATAAGACTCACACTAGCCTGTGAGAAGCTCACAGGCTAGAGCGAGGAGGGTGAGAATGACAGATAGATAAACTAATAATTATAGCACCGTGTGGGAAGTGCCATAACTCAGGTGAACACAGTGCGGTGAGAGCCCGGAGGAGGGAGGGCCGGCTCACATCAGTGAAGTCTGAGAAGGCTTCCAGGGCAGGTAAGGCTTGAGCTGGCTCTTGAGAGGAAAAGAAGAAACCCTGTATGCATTGGAATGGAGTTTGGGGAGGAAATGACAGGAGGAGGAGAAACGTGGGCTTGGAGCTAGTGGGCAGACCGTCTCCCGTACTACTTGTTTATCCCACAAGCAACAGGAAGGTTGTTAAGGAGTGACGTCATGATTCCCGAGGTGTGGAGGGCTGTTCCCATCCTGAGACCCAGCTGTGACCATGGAAACAGATAACAAATGGAAAGGTCATTAGACTCGCAGTGACTCATATTCACCAAGTGTTTGCGAAGGTACCCTGCCTCCTCGTCCCTTCCCCCAGGGCTGGGATTCCCACAGAGATGAAGGGAGCACAGCATCACCCACAGAGGGGAACCAAGGCAGCCAGCGAGCACCTGGCTGTGGACTGGGCAAGCACAGAGATGGCCCCTGCTTCTGAGAAATAGCACTCTTTCACTGCGAAGGGAGGAGCGAAAGATAGTTGCTCAGCCCTTTCTAGGAAAGGACTGGAGAGTTTAGACACTGATCATGAAAAATAGGCAGCAACTGGCAAGCACTTTCCCTGGTACAGACTAAATTACCAGAGGTTCTTGTGACTTTCACTGGAAGGCGACTGTATTGGGGGTGGGAGATGGGATTGGGCAGGAGTGAATCTAAAACAAGGTGAGGGGAGGACGGTAATGAGGCCGAAAAGGGTAGACTATGTAGGTAAACATAGCAGATGAAATGTTACACTACCTTAATGTTGTGAACAAGGAACTCAAACCTGCAGGTAATGGTGGGAACTTAGGGTGGAGAGGCATGTCATACAGCCATTCAGCTCTCCTGGGTATGGGCCATGATCAGCTCCTTGCAAGAGGGTCGGTTACACATATACATACGGATGTTCACCATAAGCCTTCTTATATGGGGCTAGATAGACAGTCTTGACTATTTCTCCCTCCTTCCTTCCCTATGCCTACGTTTGCAAACTTTTGGCTTACATCTCTGACTATGTTTGTAGGACCTGGTTCCACCATCAGCTGTAGCCATCTGTGTACAACCTGGCGTGGCTATGGCCTTTAGCTCATTTTCAGAGCAGGGCCCTACCTGCTACCCCACCTGTTTACCACTGCGAGCAGCAAATAGCCTTCGCCTTCAGATGAACTCTTCTGTGCTCTTTCTCAATCACTGTCTCCTTCTCTGAGTGACTCACATCTATTAAAGGCCATCCACCTGCAGGCCAGCCCTGGGCAGACATGTACAGTTGGTCTCAGGAACCCTCCCCTCAACTCTCAATTTTTTAGGAAACCAATAGTTTCTCTGCCCTGAGGAAAATACAGTCCAAATAAATTCATCCTAAAATGCTAATAACTTAAAACATCAGTCTGTAGAAGAGCGTTGGTACCATGGCCTCCACAGAACCATGGAGAGAGCAACGCTTAGCACACAGGAGTGGAAGTTAATAGTCAACTTTGAGGTATCACTGAGAATGCATGTGACATCTGAAGCGTTCCTATACCCTATAAATCCTCCTCAATAATCGATTCAGTTATGAAAGTAAGTACCCAAAATGGTTGAGATACATAATGGTAAGATCTCGAGTTTGGAAGTCTAAGAAATTTGCAGCTGAGACATCGATGTGCAAGTTGCTGTTTCTGGCCTCTAGATCCAGTCGCTATCGTGCACACACACGCACACACCCTGCTTAGTGATAGAAGGTCCATCCACTAAAAGACCTTAAATCTGGCCCCGATATAGGACGTTAACCACGTGACGTCACAAGGACACTGTGGATCCGTAAGTTGACATACTGGGGGCAGGCATTTGCTGACCAGACGTGGGCGGTAGCACCTGCTCAGTGCCAGGCACTGACAGACGTGGTCATTAATGTCCCC